TTGTTATTGTTGTTAAGTGTTGTCGATTTCGTTTTGACCCATAGCAACTCTCTATAGGGTTTCCAAGGAGCAGCTGGTGAACTTGAACTGCTGACCGTGTGATTCAAACCAACTTTACAGTCCAGCACATTAACCCACACCGCCACACCAGAACTCTTCCTTAAGGTAGAGTTAACCTCAATGATGTGGATGGAGTAAAGCTTTCAGGAAATTCATCTGCTGATGGGACACAACTCAAAATGAGAATAGCTGCAAACATCCACTAATAATCAGAAAGTATGACTCTAGAAAAATTGGAAGTCATCAAAAATTAAATGGAATGCATAATCGATATACTAGGCATTGTTGTTGTTAAGTGTGGTTGAGTCAGTTCTGATTCATAATGACCCTGTATAGGGTTTCCAAGGAGTAGCTGGCAAGTTTGAACTACCGACCTTGTAGCTCAAACTGACCTTGGGGTCCAGTGCTTTATCCCATAGGACCACACCAGGATGCGTTCTAGGCACTAATGAGTTGAAATTGACTGAAATTGACCATTCTGAATCAGACAATCTTATGGTTTACCATACTGGGAACTATAAATTCAAGAGGAATGGTGTTGCATTCATCATCAAAAAGAGCATCTCAAGATCTGTCTTGAAATACAATGCTGTCTGTGACAGAATAATATCCATGCATGTACAATGAAGACCAGTTAATACCACTTTTATTCAAATTGATGAGCCAACCATTAAAGCCAATAATGATTAAATTGAAGGATTTTACCAACATCTCTAGTTTGAAATTGATCAACCATGTAATCAAGTTGTACTGATATTTATTGATGATTTAAATGTGAAATTTGGAAACAAAAACAAATGATCAGTAATTAGAAAATATGGAATTGGTATAATATAGAAATGGCGAAATGGTGAGAATATAGAAATGATGCTGAAGATCATATAATTTTACAAGACCAATGACTTACTTACTGAAAATGAGTGAAGACTGAAGACCAGAGAGTTGTGGGATGACACCAAGAACATCATACAGGAAAAAGACAAGAAAGAAGGAAAAGACCAAAATGGATGTCAGAAGAGTAGAGATGCTCTCCAGTGTAAAGATGATAACAGCAAATGGAAGAAAATGAGGAGGCAAAAAAGCTGAATAGAAATTTTCAAAGGGTAGCTTGAGAAGACAAAGTCAAATATTATAATGAAGTGTGCAAAGACCTGGAGTTAGAAAACAAAAAGGAAGGATGTGCTCAGCATTTCTTAAGCTGAGGGAACTGAAGAAAAAAGTTCAAGCCTTGACTTACAATACTGAAGGATTCTATGGGCAAAATATTGAATGATAAA